CCTTCGACGATGCGCTCATAAGCATTCTTTCTGATCCTCTCACTTTCGCAGTCTTGTTGTCTCCACCGCCAAGCTAGCAACTTTTACCTAAGGGGCGACCTTCTTTATCGTTGCAACTACCTTTCCGATGATCGCAAGTGGCTCCTTGTGATACCCCACCATTTCCGAGCTGTTATCTGCGAAGCTTTTCACGCAGACCCACAGTGCGCCCACGCAGGCCTCTTCAAGACATACGCTAGGCCTCGACTCAGATTTTATTGGTGTGGCATGTATAATTATGTGCGGGAATCCATTCACTCGTGTGCTCAGTGCCAACGACGAAAGTTACCTCCCGGGCAAGTCGACCCGTCGCAACCTCTTCCTTGTCCTAGTCGACCTTTTGATCGCGTCGGCATTGAAATTTACCGACCACTACCATCAACTCTAGCTGGTAATCACTGGATTATCGTTGCGATAGACCATCTGACACGCTATGCCGAAACAGCCGCGCTGCCGACTGCCACAGCCCGTGACGTTGGAACGTTTTTGTTGCGACGTTTTGTTCTGCGTCATGGTGCCCCTTGCGAGCTCTTAAGTGACAGAGGCCGTGCCTTCCTTTCTGACGCCTTGAAGGCATTACTCAACGAATGCCGAATCGTGCACCAAACAAGTACAGCGTACCACCCTCAGACGAATGGTATGACGGAGCACTTCAACCGTACTCTTGGCAGTATGCTGTCGATGTACGTCGCCTCTGATCATTCAAATTGGGACCAAGTTCTCCCGTTCGTCACTTACGCGTATAATACTGCCGTGCAAGCTACTATTGGGTTTTCGCCGTACTTTCTCCTATATGGACGAGAACCTTGCAATACATTAGACACTATTCTTCCATATAAACCTGATGAGTCCGAAAGTACTACTCTGTCCGAAGCTACCCGACATACTTATGAATGCCGCCAGCTTGTCCGCTCTTTTTCTACAATGGACCAGTGGCAGCAGCAATCCCGTCAATCTGGGCACTATTCGGCTTCAAACTTTCCACCTGGTTCATTGGTATGGCTTCGGGTACCTACTACTGTACCTGGCCACTCCGCAAAACTTGTTCCCGAATATCTCGCACCATACCGCGTTGTAGAGCAAACGTATCTCGTAAACTACATCGTGAAACCCATTATGCCATTCACAGACCTACGCTACCGCGGCCGTGACATTGTCCACGTCTCTCGCCTCAATGCGTACCATGACCCATTAGTTGTTTCTTCTCCCTAACCCGCCAGGGTGGTGGATTAGGGCGATTAGGGCGCACTGGAGGAAAACAATTTGCCACGTAAAGTAAGTATTGCATGGTGCCGGCGAACAGAAAAAAGGACAAGTTTGCAACCTAGAGCTACTATTGACGGCTGATAACCCATTTGGTTCCAGCACATCGTATCCGCAGATACAGAAATTAGTTGTTATGCATCAGCTGATTTGTGCGCAAAGAATTGGGTAGCAATTAATACGAAGAGCAAGAAATGGCCAGAAAGAAACATTATTCATTTCATTAAGGCCAAATCTGCAAAATTCAGTGGTGGAAATTTACGCCAGGAAATTCATACTTTGCAGTTTTCTCGTGACGCAGAGATCGCCAAATTTGAAGAACACATTTTCAAGCAGCGCCACAGACATGACGTAAGTTGGGCTCGTTACATGAATGAACGTTTTTCATGCAGATCACAAATTAAATCACCTTTCTCTGTGCAAATCTTTTCTGGCCGTCACTTCTAGCACAACACCAAGACAGCTGCAAAGGAAAGGGCAGAGATGAAAGCGGTGAGTCTGCGATTATTTAAGTCTAACTTGCCTGGCTTCTTTTATGTGCTATATATAGTTTATCCTTCATACGGAAAACGCTCAATTTAATACCTAAATGTGGGTATTTCCTGCTGGCTCTTTTTTTAAAAAAGTTGGTCCGATTTGAGCAAGTACTATTTCATGCGTAAAAAATGTAGAGTACGCTATAGTTGATGAATCGACTTGTCAGTTTGTTAACACCGCGTCGCACCAATGCTGCCTCAAGTAGGCTCCATGCAACGCTGTCACTCTTTTTAAGTGTTCATTCAAAGCCAGCGTTGCGTGATCAGGAGCTGCGAGCCGGAGAGGCCTACCTTTAAACCAGCGTGTTGTACAGTTACGTGATATCGGATGAAAATGGTTAGCGGTTCGCGTTTCTTTGTATAACACTACAATTTGTTGCTATTGCATTCATTGCTAGGTGGTCTAAATTTCCGGAGCCCTCCACTACGGCGTCTGTCATAATCATATGGTGGTTTTGAGATGTTAAACCCCACATATCAATCATCAATCGCATTCATTGCTTCGCCCTTGAGGCGAAATTGCGATTTATTGACAGGCTGTTCAGGCGTTATCATAGCTTTAATTGTAAGCGAAGAAATGCGCAGTTTCTGCGCTTGCAAAGGGGAGCAAATGTACTGATAAATGCCCACTTTGCTAAATACAATTCTAAAGAACGAAATATCTCAATAGTCATCCCATTTTTAGCTTACTCTTCAATGATTTTGTGCTTTCAGAAGACGATTTTTTAGTTCCTCATTCCTCGCCGACGGATATGTTTTTTTTTTTCAATGCCTTTGCATTTTGCGCATGCGCATTCTATGTTTCACTTTCCTGGGAGCTCGTGGAAGCTAAACAATAATACTTATTGATGACGGAAACCTTGTGTTTTAGCACTGTGCCAGAAGAGTGCAACATGAGACGGCACCACCGTTCTTTTTGAATTTATCGATCTAGGAATGACATTCGCAATCGTAGGATCTAGGATAATTGTACATTTGCCGAATATAGAAGACCAATGTATTCAACAGTCAAAAATCATTGTTCCAATTTCAGGAGGCTGACGAAGAAGAGAGGCAGGCAATGTCAACCGACGAACGGCTCGCTGGCATCGTAAGTTCGCAGGACTCGTGTGGCTCTTATAGCGAATGAAAATATCCAGGAATTCGATTAAATACAACGTCTTAAAATAACACTTATCACTCAGCGAAAATCACGAACGTGGGTGATACTGCGTACCATTTCCATGATAGCTATGTTGCGTTTTCTATACGAGGGCTTTCGGACACCTATACAGATATAGGCTCGTGTGTTTTGAGAAGATGCGATGACGCTCTTCAGACGCCTTGAGCGCACGTCTAAGAATGAATGAGGTGATGTCTCATATGTTCGTGTATGCGCGTCTGCTTTGTCCCTTCCAACTAACTCGTTCCATGCGCATTCATCTGTGCGTGCGCCAGCGCTGTGGCGTGAGCAGTGGTGTCACTGTTACACAAGACAGCGTTGGTGACGAAAAGGTATACGTATAGCTAGCTATAGGTCGAAGAAAAGTAAATTGCGGGGAAACCAAGCATACTTCACTGTAAAACGCCGAAAGACAACCTAGTAATTTGCAGGACTTGCGTTCTTCGGGAAAACAATTCCATTCGGTAGGCAAGTTGTGAGGCAAAATTTAGGGAGAGCGCTTAGTGTCTCACAGCTTATCACCCCTTTAGGAAGGGAATACCCATGGCATTCGTCTATATTTGTCCAGATGAGTCTGGGTGCGCCTAGAGAGCATATGTCACCTGGAACAAAGTATACTATATATTGTCACTGTGGCGGGGTAAGGAGCTTGTGTTCCGAAGCTTACGAACGTTGAATATGCCAATAAACGATGCTCGGAGGTAGATTGCGCGTTTTTTTTTAAGTTAGTCACTTGTATTTTTCTGTTTCATATAAATTTGTAAACTCTCTCAACACAGTTCTAATCAGTGGCCTAGAATGATCAACAGTATACGAGTCCACAAATCGTCAAGTAGGATGCTCATAACTATAGGGAATGTATAGAAATTGTAGCATACTCCCTGCTGAACTCTTTACGAAGGGATGAATTAAACGGAACTGGACGCAAATATCGGCTGACCGTGCTTGGTAGGTGCTCTGGTGAACTGTATGTATTATTCAACGGCGTGTGCATTTCCACCATGAATCGCTAAATGGAAGAGTAAAGGGATGTTTGCTGTCCCGCTATCTTCAACACGTTGTCGCGGTTATTACTTTCAAGTGTTTAGCTCCCTTCGGGACCTCACCGTGACTTCCTGAGCATATGTTCTGGTTTCGATGCCCGCATCTTCATTACGGTGCTGTTTAACGCAGTGATAAAATCAGCTGTACGGTAAAGTGTCGTGATTTATTGGCACAGGTGATTCCGTACGCGAGGGGGCTGATTTGCGTTAATACCCAAAAAGAAGAGGTTAGTGACGCGCCTATTGAAACCGGGTATTATTCTACTTCGGAAGTCGGAAGCGTTTTGAGGAGGGGGGTTAAGTTCGCATGAGGCGGACACTGGTGGGAAGAGGGCAGGTAATGAATTGGGGAAGGGGGTAGCATAACAATTAGGGTAACATGGGCGAATTAATAATAATCTACACAGTTGCAATGAAAGTGCTGTGTTTTTTTTTTTTTTGCTCGAATGTCACAATGTTACAGTTTACATGCGTACGTTGTAAGCGCGAAAACCTCATTAAGGTCAAAACTGAGGTTAAAACTGCCATGTCGGCCTTCAGATAGGAAGTGGCAAGAAAAAAGAGTGGCAGTGTCATATCATGCAACGGGCCAAATAAAACTGCCCCGCGTGCCACATGCGGGATGCCGACAGTTACTCTAAATGAAGGCGTACAGAAACGTTAATTTGCCTCATCACGTCGGGTCCAAACGCCTTCTGGCCGCTAGAGGTCGCAGAGCTTCCCAACTAGCCTATGAAAGTGCGACGCTAAGAGCCCCGTTTGAAACTACGGCTAAATCGTGAAAGTAGGAGCAGAGCACAAAACGACAGCACACCAATGCGAGGTACCAAATTACCTTGAAAAGTTCTAACCGAATTATAGAATAGACACTCGGTGTATGCTTCATAAGTGAATTTTCATATTGCATTGCGGGAAGGGAAAACATTACCTAGCTGCCCTGTCTCGCCATACCTGCAGAAGGGCAGCGAACTCCAGCATCCGCGCAGGTGTCAAGCGCCAAATAGAAAACGACGACAGTGACGACGAGGACTCGCCTGACGACGAAGTGCGGTGAGTGCTCCTAAGATATTGTAGTAAGAGTTTGCAGCAATTAAATACGTGAGAGAAAACACAAATGACGCCACTCTCGGTGGATCGCGGCTGCCGACACGGACAACACTGATTCATCATGATTTGCGCTAACTAGCAGTAATAGTTTCGAAAGGCACAAGGTGATCGATGCACGCTTTTAGCTGATTTATATAAAATCTATAAGAAATCAATCGAACATCGATTAACATATGCATGCACAGGGTTTCCCTTTATCGCAGCGTCCCTTCTGGGCCCGACTTTTCACACACCGCCCCCCCCCCCCCCCGCCCCTTTGAGGCGCTTAGTTATATAGGTGCAAGCTACAGAACACCACGTATCTGAAATTTCTGAAGCCTTCCACTACATATCCCTCACAAGCTTATCGTGGTTCTGGGACGCTAAACTAGAACTAGCAGACTGTAGCGTCCGAGTACATTAAGGTGGAGAGAGCTTCTGTTGCGTTTGTCTTACGTGTTCGTTTTAGTCTCGTAGCTTTTCCTGCAGGCCCTAGTTCTATTGCACGCTGATTTCGGAAGGAGTGTTCTAAGTGAATATTTGGAAACAATTTTTCCAAATCACCGAATCAGTAAACTAATTAAGACGCAGCATCATAAGTAACCAATTGAATAATAAATTAATATTAGAATGACAGAAAGCTGGCTTTGTTGGTGAGGCTTCACGGCAAAAGACCATAGACGTGCAAACACGATTTTTGTTGTCGTGAATTTGTTATTGTGTCCGTATTGGTTAGCCGTTCGTCGACTGGCTCCGTAAAGGTGGTAATGAACATCGTGGTTGAGTACAGTGTGATTATTAAGGTGAAGCATTTCTTAGCGAACTTCAGCGACTTTGGGCGTATCTGTCTGTCTGTCTGTCTGTCTGTCTGTCTGTCTGTCTGTCTGTCTGTCTGTCTGTCTGTCTGTCTGTCTGTCTGTCTGTCTGTCTGACTAGCCACCTACTACATTTAGCTCTCCTGGTAGTTTCGATAATGGTATCGATACCAAACTTGGTATGGCATAACATGACTGTATGAAGAACATATTTATCTAGTCATAACATGAAAATCATGACATGAATGTCAGGAATGTCATGTTTCAAATTCCATGGTCTTGCAGATCTTGCGGTGGTTTCTTTCACATGGCATATTGCAAAACAGGTATGGTATGATATGATTTCATGGCGAACACAAGCGACAGACCCTAACATGAAAATCATGACATGCGTGTCATGTAACAACATGACTACATGCCAAGCTCATGATGCACGTGCGACTGTTTTGCTAGTGTCACATATACCAAATTTGGTATTACGGTACGTGAATCAATGACGAAGGTAGGTGACTGGTGCATACATGATAATCATGAGATGCGTGTTATGTAACAGCATGACTACATGCCACGCTAATGATGCACTGGCGGCCGTTTCGCTAGCTTCACTTATAGCAAATTTGGTATTACAGGACGTGAATGGATGACGATGGTATGATAGTGGCACAAACATGATAAACATGATATGCGTGTCATGTAACAACATGACTACATCTTACGCTCATGATGCGCTCGCGGTCGTTTCGCTAGCTTCACATGTACCAAACTTGGTATTACGTGACGCGAACGAACGAAATAGGTAAATGACACATACAAACATGATAATCACGGCACGCGTGTCATGTAACAACATGAATACATGCCACACTTATGATGCGCTCGCGGCCGTTTCGCTAGCTTCACACATGTCAAATTTGGTATTGCGTGACGTCAATAGATGACGAAAGAATGTGACTGGTGCAAACATGATAGTCGTGAGATGTGTGTCATATGAGAACATGACTACATGCCACAGTCAAGGCGCCATAACATTTTGACGTGACGCGGTGCGCGTGCTCGCTGGCGCTCATTTGGTCGCGTCACGCCGGCGTTGCGACGTCAGGCGCTGGTCCTGCCACATACTCGCAGGCGCGTGCCGCCCTGCGTTGCATTGACGCATGCGCGTTAGAGCGCGTCCGGCGTCCCTCCGCCACGAAAAGAGGGCGACGCAGTGTTGTCTGGGTTACGCATCAGCGCGAAATGCAGCATGTCGCATTTTGGATTCGCTCGGTGGATTTTAAGCTGGACGGTCGTGCCCTCGCGATCTCCGACGCCAGCGTAGCTCCCGCCGACTGGTTCGCCCTCCGCGGTCTCCTAACGCTGTGCAGCTCTCGCATTGTGGTTCCCCGCCCTTGGACTGCTTCGACCGGATCCCCACTTTCCTATCTCCTTCTATTTTTCGTCGCTTGCCTCTCTATTTCTTAATCTATTTCCTTCTATTTTTTTTATCCCTCCTTCCCCCCCCCCCCCCCCCCTGTAAGGCACTGCGCCGTGTCGCCTATAGGCAGACAGAAATTAGGTGCCTTCTTCCTTTCCTTAAAAACCACTACCACCACCATATCGCGTTTCGCACCGGTATCCGTCGGGCCGCGCCGACGGACGCTGGTCCCCCGGTCGCGCCTGGCGTCAGACTATAGAGTGCTCGCGTTTTGCTAACATATACTATAGCATCGCTGTGCCCAGCGTGTGCGCGCGTCAACGCTACATTGGAGTATATGGAGTCCTTAATATGACGCTCGCGGCCGTTTTGCTCGCTTCACGTACACCAAGTTTGGTGTTACCTGACATCAATGGGTGACAAAATATGTAACTGGTGGAAACATGATAATCATGACACGCATGTTATATAAGAGCATGACAACATACTACGTTCATGGCGTGCTATATATACTAAATTTGGTATCTCACGACGTGAATAGATGACGAAGGTAAAAGACACATCCAAACATGATAACCATGACACGGAAGTCTTGCACGGCAACATTCACCTCCACTTCGTAATGTTGTGCTTATTTAAAATCGACATATCAACCTTTCTCATTCGTGCTTCGCATATCATCGATTGCCAGTGTACGTGGGATCTGCCAATTTTCGTTGGAAAACCTACCACGTCGGTCTTGTTTCAGGCTTTGGGAGGACGGCTGGAAGGACCGTTACTACGTGGCGAAGTTCGACGCCAGCCCCGAGAACACGGTGTTCCGCCAGAACTTGGTGAGCGTGGTTTACGTACCCTTTTATGCTACTGCAAACTTTCCATATCTGTCGTCGCCAACATAGATATACTTAAAATATTGCCAACTGTGGGAACTCGGCTGCCGCTGATGGCCACGTTTAAACGGCAGTGAAATTCAGGCGTGCTCGCCCAGGTAGATTTAATGGCGCATTCAATATTGAAGCACATGCAAGGTCTCTTCACAGCACCTCTAGGCAGCAGCGCTCGGCCGGTCAATTTTATCTTTTGTTTGTACCAAACTAAATGGCTCATTGCTGTTTCTTTTTAGACAACATCTAAAGTTTTCTCTTTAAACTGGAAGAGCTTCCATTGTATTTAAAATGTTACCAAAACAAATTAGCATCAGCCAAAAGATATGGTTTTGAAAAGTGCCTACAAATTTTGGAGTTTTCGGGCATAGTTTAGTGTTACATGTATTCCTTACTTCACAATGTTAAATTTGAGTAACCAAAAATACTACAAATACCTCCAGCAACTATAATTGCGTAATATTTGCGTATAATAAAAAAACTGCTGTACAAGTCGGAACAAAGTACGCCCATTCCGGTCTGCAAAAGTGGCTTCATGACAACGCTGTACAGCTGTGCAAAAAAAAAAGATAGCTTCGTGGCAACAAGGGGAATCGCTTTTAGAAAACTTTTCGCCAATAGTGTTTGAGGACGTTGGTTCAATGCGAGAAAAATCGAGCAATTACATTTCTTAAGCGACTTTCATAGAAAGTGACGCCACTCATTGCTTGCCCCGCCACGGTGGTCTAGTGGCTAAGGTACTCGGCTGCGGACCTACAGGTTGCGGGATCAAATCCCGGCTGTGGCGGTGGCATTTCCGATGGAGGCGGAAATGTTGTAGGCCCGTGTATTCAGATTTGGGTGCACGTTAAAGAACCCCACGCGGTCTAAATTTCCGGAGCCCTCCACTACGGCGTCTCTCATAATCATATGGTGGTTTCGGGACGTTAAACCCCACAAATCAATCAATCAATCAATCAATCAATCATTGCTTTGAACACTGTCACAAGAAAGAATGTGACTCTTTTGAAGACGCAGAGAAAGAAGTGCCACGCTCACACGTACATTGTCGCCAATGCCTCGTGCACTCGAAATATAATGAATAATTGTTGGAATTTTACGCGGCATTTCAATTGATTGGTTGGAATTTTCGAATAATCATAGCCACGTTTAACGTAGTATAGATAGCAAGAGGTCGAGCAAAGGAATAGAAAGTGAGGAGGAGAGAAGGATTGGGAAAGGAAGGAGGGGAGAGGGCGCCATGCACTGCGTCACGAACGCAGCCTTCCTTTCACGCCATGGACGCCGATCGTTTGGTACGCCATTGCTTGCTTGTCCGTGAACGTCGGCGTCACCGAAGGGCAGGTGAATCACTGCACGGAACTTCCGATAGCCCTCACCTTGAATACAACTGCGTACATGTTGTAATACAACGCACCACGTGAAATTATGAGCAGTATAACAAGCCACACGTAAATCATCGCTATGTTCAGGTGTTTGTTAGTTACTCTTTATGCATTGAAGATAGCAACAAGAAGAAACGCTTGTACGCGACAAGATTGGGGCCGCGCAACTGAAGACTGGGGGCGTCCTCAGAATTTCATCTGAGTACCACTTTCGAAATCACTTCCAACATTTCATACATATAGTAGGATAGGCTGTAAATAAATGAGCTTAAATGTTCATTACGCACATCTTGCGAATGGCAATATCTAGTTTGACTTTGAAAGAAAATAATGCGCTGTTCTGAGGCTACAGGAGTTCTTGAAGGAAGATTGTTCTAGTGGCCACGCGAAATATTCAATTGTGTTATTGTGATAAACACTCGTTTTCTGTCGAAGAAAACTCGGGACGAAAATCTAACTAAAAAGAAAATTGTGAAAAAAATCTGAAATCTGATTGTTGTGTTGCATAAATGCGCCTGCGATTTCGGCAAAAAGCTCAATTCATTGCCCAGGTCTTGCTAGTGTGTCTTCTATGTGTAAGAAGCTTCTAGTGTCGTTTCATTTTGCTCATAAAGACACTCCTTAGCTCGTCTATTACTGAAACCGATATTCAGATTGTTCGTTCTTGATTATTGTCCACAAATTCAGACACTAGAATTGAAGAGTGATGCACAAAAATTTGTCTTGAAAGTCTCAGTTCTCCTTAACTAAAATGAGAAAGTGAGTAATGCAGGTATTAATTTCAACTGGAAGGAATCTCAATTTACCGTTACGCCCTAAACAAACAAATATACAACACTGAACCGTTTTGGAATCTATGTTTATAAAGATACTTTTTTGAATGTGTTATGCGCTCTCTTGTCCGTCGTTTGGTGTAACCAATTTAGAACTAGTAAAATGTTAGTGGGTTAACTGCTTTCTAAAAAAAATGGCTTATGCAAACAAATATACAACACTGAACCGTTTCGGAACCTTTGTTTAGAAAGATACTTTTTTGAGTGTTTTATGCGCTCTCGTGTCCGTCGTTCGGTGTAACCAATTTAGAACTAGTAAAATGTTAGTGGTTTAACTGCTTTGCAAAAAAAATGACTTTATGCATATGAGTGCATTAGAGAAAGAATCGAGGCTAAATAGAATTTTGAATAATTTTCCATCATTCACGCAGGCCCGCGATTACATCCGGGGACTGTGCTGGGTTCTGCGCTACTACGTAGAGGTAAGAGTTGTTTACGAATATCGAGTGTCTACTTGTCGGGATCCGCAGTGAGGTCACGTCAAAAGTGCTCTTCAGTCTTGGTGATCCACAAGAGTTAACTTCCCTGACTGTAGCAATGGCAGGCGACTTTGACGTGGAAGCTTTTAGTTTGCACATTTAAACAATGTAGCAACCAGTCTTAGTCTAGTGATGATGCTATGTGCCTATAGAAATCGGGGTTCAGACTTGAGTTTGTTTAAGACGAACAGGGATTCAGTACCATTGTTGTGCAGAGACCATCACTTTAGAACTGCGCAAGTGATCGGCGTGTTTGTGCGACATCGTCGCAAAAATACTTTTTAGCGATACTTGCGCCGTTATGACGCACTTTAACAGGTTAGATCATCGAGACGCACGCCAAGTAGTTGAAAGAAATGGTGTTTTTCGCTCGTTTGAGGCACAGGGTTAGGTTTGACCCTTCAAACGTTAGGTTAGGTTATGCCCTTCAAACAACACCATTGATTCATAAATTAATCATCTGAGGAGGGGGAGGGGTTGAAGCAGGATGATGATGGACCACCGGGCCGTTCTATGGCCGAATATATTTTGATACTTCTTCCCAACCGACTGCCGGGAGCTCCAGTTGCGAGCTGTGCAGAGCAGCCTCTCATATCGCTCCTCGTTTTATGACCCTTGCCACGAGGGCTTAGGCTCTTTCGAGCTATTCAGAAGGATGTTATTAAAGTTGGTGCAGATTAAGTTGGCTTTTGTGCGAGGACACAAGTTGCTGAAAGCAGAGGTTTCACCATGCGTTCTAAGGAAGAGAAGGAAAGGATTCGTGACTGTAAAACAACAAACTTTGCCTCTCTCGTTCCGGAAGCTGCACGTATCACATCATGGTGGACTACAGTCTTCGACACAGTACGCAGTACGTGACAAGTGTAAAGCAGCACTAACAACCTTACACGGCTCCGCTCGTGGAGCAGCTGGTGCACGGAGCACGCGAGATGCTTTCGCCCATTCCCGCACTGCGGCGCCACCGGCTGACTGAACGTTTCCTACAGCTATTACTGAGCCCCGGCGCGCTGGTCTATAGTGGCTAAGGTACTTGGCTGCTGCCCCGCAGGTCGCGGGATTGAATTCCGGCTGTGGCGACTGCATTTTCGATGGAGGCGAAAATTTTGCAGGTCCATGTGCTCAGATTTGAGTACACGTTAAAGAACCCCAGGTGGTCGAAATTTCCCGTGACCTCCACTACGGCAGCTCATAATCATCTGATGATTTTGGGATGTTAAACACCACATATCAATCATCAACAGCTATCACATACTGAGCCAGAAGAACTGGGGTGGTGGAGGTGTGCTTTCTATGGCAATGCACACTGTTCAAAACATTGAGCCTTGCTGTTATCAGTGATCCCGATGAAAAAGAAAATTGATTTTTAAAGGATAGAGCCCTAGATTTCTCATCAAACGCGAAAAATTACCGCCGGTGGTGGTGGTATCAGCTTCCACACGAGTGATGGAAAAATCAAGATGTAATACTGGCGTCACACGTAGACAAAATTTGTGGGCTTGCCATAACGTCACCATGACGTCATCTGATGTTGTCATCACATGGCGTTGTGGAGAGGCCTGGGAAGCCCTGCTGTGGAGCGAGGATCCTGCTTCAGCGGCAACAAGCCATCCGCTTTGAGGAAGAAGCCGTGAGGAGTCGGAACCTCTTCGCCTGCTTGTAATCACCGAGATGCCGGCCCCCGTCCCTCGGGCATGTGTGCCGGAGACAGGGAGCACGAGGTCTCCTTGCGGAACAATAAAGTTGTCATCTATCCATCCATCCTCGCTTGTTCGAAGATGGGCCGACCCCGGAGGCACTGCAAATTCATATGTTGGTTGCAGAAAGCTTTCGGTGACTAAGTAGAAAAGCGAACATAACTTTCACCTTTGAATCGTTTTAGGGAAATATATCATAATAAACTTTATGACAGGAACTCTATCAATTTTGAGTTAGTGTCAGGTGGCAGCGTCTGCGTCCGTTAGCTTTACGTGGGGTAGAGGGAATGTTTTCGCGTATAATCTGCAGCGCTGTAGTATTTGTCTTTATTTGAGTCGTATACCTTTGGCACGTTGTGTGGGATTTTCCGGCGTTCTGTGAGCGTTCAGACGGAGCGCCCATGCATCATCTGTTCACGGCTCTGTAAGCTGAAGCTTCAGTTGATACATGTTTTGATATCATTTATTCGCGCTTCCTCATAGAAGTTGTCACGTGCTGCCGTGCCGACGCAGCGACGACGATGAAGTGGAAGTAGGTGCAAGGAAGGGCGCACGCGGGCCATCGAATATTCTGCCGCCCGGTTCCTGGCCCATCTCGCTTTGTGGGTGAACGCCGTACATCTGAGATCATCATCATTATCAGTGAATAAACAATTGACCATTTGCGGGAAAACCACTGCGCATGAGCAGTAACCGCACAGGTAGCGTTCCTGTACAGGCGTTTTGGTTTTGGTTGGAAAACATCAGCCTGGCGTTCCATCAATATGACCCGTAGTAACGGCGAACACTGCCGTTTTCACGCAAACACCGTACCTCACAGACGGTGCACAAGCCGTCCTCACTGAACCTATAGTTAATCGACAGGCATTTCAAGGTTCAACTTCAAGTGTATAACATAATGTTCTTCTTAAAAGAGCAGGCGTAATGAGCCTGGCGAACCGTCGAGGTAGCGGAGTGCAGGTATCACCTCACTTGGTTATTTCTCAGGCTGAAACGCGAGAAATTCTTGTTTTACACCGCGTATACAAACGTCAACAGAATGTTTTTCTCCTTTATCTTCTTGTTTCAGTAACGGGCATGCGTTTTTGGTCCTAAAGCAAGAAAACAAGCGTTTTGTTTTCCAACCAAAAGCGAAGCTTTCCTGTTTACACGACAGGGGGCGCTCACTTTTCCGCAAATGGTCAATTGGTTTTTGTCAGTCGATGCAGCTGCATCCTTCTTCCTTCTGCCTGCCCACTACAGTGCTAACTCCGGACGCTTCCAGAAGCTTCCACCAACACTCGCCCCTAGCCAGCCACTCCCTGACCCGCCTATCACCATGGTGCGACGACCAGATACGCGGCGACCATGGCACCCTGCATCCTTTTACCGCCGAAATTTCCCAAATATTTGCCAAGAAGCCCATCCATCAGGCTGCTCAAGATGGAGGCTGCTTTCTACCTCCGCAACATTCGCTCAACAGAAAAAGTACGCAATCACGGTAGCCTTGCTTCCTCCTACTTTGCGACCCTTTGTGCCTCGTCCGGGACCACAGACATATGAGCGACTTCGTTGTTTCATACGAGCCCTACGGCAACCGGGAGTGCCACATCACTTGCTCCCTGCCGCGCTAAACCTTAATTTTTAATCTCGGGCTGTCACTACCACGCTGCCGTAACAATCTAACTCCAAGTTGTCCGACACCACCTGGTTATGGCTCTGCGGCATCAGCCAGTTATACCACGCAGACATTGCGTGACATGGTTTTCGACGACGCACTCAAGACGGCACTGAGAACGTCAAGTACGTCAAGTGTCACTAATGAGTGTTACCTCGCGCCTATCTTCTTCTGCCATACCTGCCATCACAAGCGGGATACCCCAAAGGGACGAGCCCGGTTCCGCCAGGTTTGAGCGATACAGCATCAACCGATTCGCAGGTAAGTACGGGAAACAAACGTAGGTACTCATTACAATGAAGCATTACCCGCCAGCTGATGCACTCGGCTGCTGACCCGCAGGTCGCGGGATCGAATCCCGGTCGCGGCGGCTGCATTTTCGATGGAGGCGAAAATGCTTGAGGCCCGGGTGGTCCAAATTTCCGGAGCACCCCTCCCCCGAAAGGCGTCTATATTAGTCACATTATTATTATTATTATTGTTATTATTATTATTATTATTATTATTATTATTATTATTATTATTATTATTATTATTATTATTATTATTATTATTATTATTATTATTATTATTATTATTATTCAAATGATATGTATGCTTCGGAATTTAACAACACCCTTCATATCGTCTTCACTTACTTGCAGGGCTGTCCATCATGGACGTGGTTTTTCCCGCACCTATACGCGCCATTTGCGTCGGACTTCGACGAAATCGGTGAAGTCGCCGTCGACTTCGACACCGAAACAGAACCCGTGAGTCAATCTTTCCTCCTTGCAGTACGTGAGACGCGTGTCAAGAGTGCAATTTTATGGGGCTGAAGGTACCGACATTGCACAACGAAAGAATACAAACGAATGACATCTACGAGATTTATGACTATATTGGTTGAATTCACCTGCAATATCAACGCATGTGCCATATTGGTACAAAATGTAACATTTCGTTATAAAGGATCTGGTCATAACGCAGTCTCTGCCTCATCGAAGATCAACGCCTCGCAGACTGTCGTGTGTGTGTGTGTGTGTGTGTGCGTGTGCGCGTGTGCGCGTGTGTGTGTGTGTGTGTGTGCGCGCGTGTGCGCGTGTGCGCGTGTGCGTGTGTGTGTGCGTGTGTGCGTGTGCGCGTGTGTGTGTGTGTGTGCGCGTGTGCGCGTGTGTGCGTGTGTGTGTGTGTGTGTGTGTGTGCGTGTGCACGCGCGCGCGCGCGCGCGCGTGTGTGTGTGTGTGTGTGTGTGTGTGTGTGTGTGTGTGTGTGTGTGTGTGTGTGTGTGTGTGTGTGTTTGTGTGTTTGTGTTTGTGTGGAGATACAATGATAGCGAGGTTGTTAGACAGCAATGTCTTTGTAATAACAGCAGATAGTCTACCTAAGCATGAGTGCGACTCTGCGAGGGCGCGCGTGCGTGTGTTTGTGCGTGTACTGGCGTATGTGTACCAGAGAAAGAGGTGCGCCGTGAAAATGCAAGACACGAACATGAATTCTTATTCAGTTAACTGAAGGTTTTCAAACCTATTTGTCTGCCCCACCGCGGTGGTATATAGTGGCTAAAGTACTTGGCCGCCGACCCACAGGTCGTGGGATCAAATCTGGCTGCTGCGGCTGTGCTTTCGACGGAGGCAAAAATGCTATATGCCCTTGTGCTCAGATATCGCTGCACGTTGAAGAAACCCCAGGTGGTCGGAATTTCCGGAGCTTTCTACGACGGCGTTCCTCATAATCATATGGTGGTTTTGGGACGTTTAAGATCTGTCTAACCTCCCTGTTCTTCCTCCTGCAGTCCTCCTCCTTGGAACATTAAACCCCGCATATCAATCAATAATCAAACCTATTTCCCTGGCTTCCAGGTCAAGCCCATGGAGCAGCTCATGAGCGTGCTGCCTGCGTCCAGCAGCCGATTTCTTCCCGAGCCTCTGGCCGACCTTATGGAGGATCCGGTAAGATTATTGCGTAGAAATTACGTGTGCTTAATGAAATGCATGCGGTTGTACTGGGAGAGCAAGACTTTGTTAGCTCATGTAACAAATTTAAAAATCATAGTGATTGTATGCATTCCACTTCTGACTATATTAGGGGGTCTCAAAAATACGCGTCCTCCGGACCTTTTTCGCTAGTGGCCTGGCCTTTACATATCTTTCTTCGTCCCCGTTACGTTATTGATAAGTATATTCGTGAACTAATCTGACGTAACTGGTCACAATATTTTTTTTTTCGTGAGGCACACCATGCGATCACTATGAATTGAAACATAACACTGAAAAAAGAAGGAAAAACAATATTTCGGAGTCTGCGTCAAGGTTTGAGTTAATCAAGATATTTGTACCAATATGTTACTCGAATCCTGATGCCAAATAACCGTCGGAAATGACCACATAAAAAATAACGTAAAGGACTTCTTTGAGGCGGTCACATTAAGGCACCCTGTTCAAGATGCCCCTTCCTCCACCCCCCCCCCCCCCCTCCTTTCCTGATCCAACCTTTTTCAGTACGAATCTTCGACACTGCCGACATCCCGGCCACTGCAGTAGTAAATTTTGCGACTGTGCGGCCCACTTGAAGAGGGAAATTTGAGACCCCTAATGTGTAAAAGGAATGGATGGTTCTGCGCTCGGATATAGTCTTTCGCGTATATAATTTCTGGAAAGCGTTGGTTGCTTTATAAAAAGTTGTGACCGGTTGGTGAATCATTATTAGCAAAGGTAACCGCAAAAGCACTACGCATACAAAAAGACGACACGAACTGGTTGTTGCCTTTTGTCTGAACATTCCCTGGGCGTCTACTGTGCACATAGCATATAAATTTTCTGCTTCTCAAATGAAATTGCAGACGAATATTGAACCTTTGTACCTCGAACGTAGAGGAAACATAATTCATTGTTTTAAGTTGCATAGGATAATAACTAATTGTGGTGATTGATTAAGCAAGTCTTAATTAGTTTTTTATGTGGAACAACTAAGAACTGACATCTTAATGTGTCCGTAATCAAGCGCCTGGCTTTTTTTATCTTGTTTCGTATGGTAGATTGGTGAGCGCTAAAGCAGGGATCGGCAACCAGCGGATCACGGGCAGTTTTACGCGGTCCCCAGCACAACGTAACCCCCTCCCCTCTCTCTCACACACACACACACACACACACACACACACACACACACACACACACACACGCACCCACACTTGGCATTGCCTATCTGAACGAGGTCGACTTGACATTTTTGACCTCAAACGAGGTTTGCACGTGTAACCTGTGTTTGTAAATGGCAACCTTGTGAGTTGCGTGCAGCAAATAAGCATAATTTTTATTCCAATTTTGCACAGTAATGCCAATAACCCAATTTTTTTACCTTCGTCGCCAGTTCCACCCCTTAGTCTTCTTGTCATGCGGCCCCCACTGTTTCGCCTTCATGCGAAAAGGCCTTTCACCTAGAAATGTTGCCAACACCTGAGCTAAACGAACATTGTGGTAGACCTACCTCGAGAAATTTGCAAGGCTATCGCAAAAGTTGAGCCAGTCAGTGTTATGAGGAACCTGAGTACCGTAGGCAATATGGAAGAATACTTCTCAGAACTACACACTTCGAGGATAAGTCGCCTGTGCACTAGTAAAGTAAATGTCAAGCAAGACGCCTGACCACCTATGAGGTTAGAAGGTAACTCGAAGTGCGCCTCGCGGGAAAGAGGCTGGTGAAGGCGGCGCAACGGTCGTTTTGACCAAAGATATCCCTATATTAGTACCTGGCTCGATATGTCGTGTCATCTTTGTACCCATTATGAAAAAACAAATTCGCTCCAGTATTGCGGTCGTACACAATGTAAATCAACGATACATTTATAACATCTCATTTTTTACTGCTCGAGGAAGGGGCTTGAGTCGCGCAGGTAAATGGCTTGTTTAGTCCGTATGCCCCGCTTCTGCAGCTAAAACAGCATTTTATTCCCCACAACACGCGTGGTGGGTTCTCTGCGGTGCGATCCGCATGCATGGCGTCCTTGCGCACCGCGGGACAGAATTTTGGAGTCTACCGCTGAGCAGATTACAGCCAAGGCACGTTTGAGCCGTTTGATATAGGTGTGTTGACCAGGTAAAGGGAAAGGAGAATGAGATCACGTGTTGTCTCGTGAACCTGGCGATATCCAGTCCTATAGTCTGGTTTGGATTCCATCGCAACTTCTTTTCGTGTTCTCTTGTCGGTCGTCTCGAAAAGGTGGTCAGCAGCTTATAGTTCTTGTTGCGCCACGCTGCCTTACAGAGGTCTCCCATCGTGGACTTTTACCCATTGGACTTCAAGATAGACCTCAACGGCCACAAGCACGTCTGGCAAGGTTAGTGCACTGCGGTTGTTTAGCTGTAGCTTCCTAAGTCACTATACTTTGATTTATTTTATCAGAATAGGTGACGAGGAAAAGCTTGCGCATTGGCAAATGGCGCTGTTTCAAGGCTCCTAAGGAGATCACGTACTTTGTGACGCCAAACAGGCAAAAAAAGTGTTCCACACTCGCCGTAATGGCAACAGGTGGCGCTCACCGAAGCTCCCACGTTTAAATGCACACATATATACCCTATAATGTAGATGGAGAGATGAGTGCCACCATAGCTCGGTGATAGAACATCAGACGCGTTATTCGAAGGTCACAGGTTCGGATCCTGCCGATAGACAGTCATTTTTTTTCGTCCACTTTTCTTTCTTCCCACTCACATCATACAATTACTTATAATAACATCCCCTATCATTTCCTTGGCATTAATGTCTCTTATTTCTCAATAATATTGTCACATAAGAGTGAGGGTAGCCCGAAGACAGGAGACCGGGAGGCTCGTAGAAATAGAAGGAGATCCGTTTATTTGGCGGACTTGCGCCCACTAAAGGAAAGTATACACATCGGCTTAGCGGGTGGCGAACAGCGTGTTCGACAGCCGTCGGGGAACAGAATGTCCCACTGGATTGCAAGGCGCGTTCACCATCCGAGATACAGTCGTCGTAGAATCTGGGGCTATCTCGTAATCAGCGAATGGTAGACGTGCGGGTCACGATCTTCGCAGATGAATCGCGGTGCATCCTGGACCACGATAAGGCCGCGTGCCGGCGGTATTGGCATACATAACACTATCCGCAATATGCTTCGCGGCAATATTGTGTCAGAAACATGTAACGTGAACTGTCCGCCGCAGCGTTGTAGCGGCTAAGATGCTTGGCTGCTGACCCGAAGGTCGTGAGTTCGATCCCGCCAGCGGTGGTGTCATTCAGATGGAAGTGAAATGCTGTCATCTTGTATACTGCGCGATATCAGTGCACCCAAAAACACCAGATGTTCGAATTTTCCGGAGCCCTCCACAAGAGCGTCTCACATAATCATATCATAATTTTGGGATGGTAGCTCTAGATTTTAATATTAGTAGCAACATAAGCTGGAGGACACGAAACCAACATTCATCTGGAAGAACAATGGCCACTCGAGGGGGAAAAACTGCATCTATTGATTCTCCCCATGACGATTAATAACTCAATGACGGGAATAGCCTTCTCATACCGCAATTTCAAACATGATTTTGAAAAGTCGAGTCATAAACGTATACATTTTAAGTGGACTAGCTGGGGACGTGTTATCATTATGCACTCCTTGTGCAAGGACATCAGTTTTGTTAAGGAAACAGCTGTTGCGGGGCACACATGCTTACACTTGCATGCCGTCACCGCTATGAGGTGCTTGTACCAACGCTGCTCACTATAACGAGGCCACAAGGTATAACTGTCGCGTCCACATCTCTCGGAGGCCTCACATGTGCTGTCCACCTCAGTGATCTGTGACTGCAGACCATGCATCATGTGAATTCTGCTTTTTCCTTCATTTGTTTTTCTCTTGTGACACGTGTATCCGTATACATGTGATAACCCAATCGCAAAATCATTGTTTATTTTGCATATAATGTAAAAGCTATTCATTTCGGATTTCACGGGACACCGAAATTTGTCCGAATTAACTGAATGCTGAATTATCAAAAGTATAAAAAAACAATAAGTGTATGCTACGTCAATGTACTTTCATGTTCTCGATGAATATGTAAATCCAGTTATTCTTCAGCATAGCGGCAGCGCAAAAGCCTAAATTTTATTTATTTGAGGCTTCATTAACGTTTTGAACACGGATCGATTGGCCCCCCATGTCTTGATTCGAAACGCTTTCTGAACCGATAACTTATTACGTAAGGACAACGCAATCGTGATTGACGAACACGCCTTTCGGAAAGTCCATGGCCGCTTCGGCTGTCTACGAACGTTGTTTTCGTTCCTTTCCATTGCGCTTTCGCCGTACGTCGTCGCCGGTGTCGGAGTGCTCAGAGGACCATCCGAATTAAACGACTATCCTAACCAACGAGTGTAGAGTTAGCGACACTGTAACGCTAGGTGTTGATATGCATCTGTAAAGCTCACGAATTTAACACGCATTGACTAGCAGGTGCTTTGGAAATGACCTTCTTGGCATGCAAACAACTCTACACATCTTCGCGCTCCTGAACGTAGGTGTCGCCCTCCTGCCGTTCATCGAAGAACCGAGGCTTCTCGACGCAGTCAGAGCAGTGTACCCGCTCCTGGACAATGAACAAGGTACTTACATGGCTGTTCGATTTCACGAAGCGCGAATATAATTTGCTAATGATACGAATTGTGGACGCAGCAAAGAAGTCCCGAAAGCATCTGTAAAATGTCTTGATCCGAGGCACTGTCACACTGGTTGACGCGGTCTTTCGTCAACCTTATTCGTTGCTTTAATTGGATCTCGGCGTTTTTGCGTACGTTATCAAGGTTAGAAAAAAACGTATTAGCCGAGTTTACCTTCGTCTCAAAGGAATCACAAAATATTTCATAGCTATTTCTTAGTTTAAATGCAGTTCGCCTCTGTGGATCAATTGCTAGGGTGCTCGGCTGCTGACTCGAAGGTCGTGAGTTCGATCCCGGCGGTGGTTGCATTTTGATAGATGCGAAATGGTTGAGGCCCTTGTTGCTGTGCGATGTCAGTGTACATTAAAGAGCACCCGATGGTCAATATTTACGGAGGAGTCTTCCATATCATTTCGTGGTTTTCTGATGTAGAACACTATACATGTGACTATTATTACTATAAATGCACGATCAAGGCAAGTTGTTTATGGCTGCTACTTCATATCTTCAATGATTTATTCTTCATGCTTGCTCAAATTTCTGCAAAAAAAGTCGAAATCATGCCAGTATGAACTACACTGAGGACGTTGGAAACAAAAGGGCATTCAACAGCTTTTTCCATGATTTTGGATAAACTAGGGTCTCTTTTTTAGGAATTTAATCTCTGAACCTAATCCTGATGCGACGTTGCACACCCAGCAGGGAAGCAGGTGTCCACTCTGCATACAATGTTCAGTACGACATGGCATGCGAAATCTATCACCTTAACCCCGTCATGTCATGACGGATCCGGTCTCTAAAGATAATATTGGCTTCTATCTACTCTTTCGAGTCGAAATCATGCCAGTATGAACTACACTGAGGACGTTGGAAACAAAACTACGTGTGTTAGCCCTAAGTCCTGTGTTTAGAAAAACTGGAGAACGATTTAGAGTACTTGGTACTCTACTTGAACAAAATGTAAGGATTTGGATAAGCTTTCCCCTGTTGCTTCAATTATCTAGTACTGTACATTACATTCCTTTAGCCTGCCTAACATTCCGCCTACCAACTTACTTCTCGCAGCCCTCAGAAACTCCGAGGGTGACAACATGTTGTACCTCCGCAGAGGCCAGGCAGCCTACGACTTGTTCGCCTCAGCTTACGAGATTTGCGACGACTACGACGAGGTAAAACGCACCATATCTCATGTGCAGTAAGATATCACTTGAACGCCAGTTAAGCGAACTATTCAGATATGTGAATTTTTGTTTAATGTCCCGCTGAAGTGACATTGGAACCAACGCTGATGTATTTCGATATACGAAGCCAGTGTAGAGCGCATTTATGCCCTATACGGTTATATTTTGCGACACCATGCAATGCCTCCCATGTCTCATTGATCATAAGTTGTCTATAAGACTGGGTACAGACGTTATTGTGTTTGTGTTTGCAATTTGTGTTTGTAAATTGTAACACAAGTTGCGTGTTACAATTGGAAGTTGCGTGCAGCAAAGAAAAATGGTTATTATTCCAATTTCGTACAGAATTGCCAATACGCCTACTTTTTACCATTGACAACAATTCCCTCCCCCCCCCCCCTCATTGGCTGAGGGGCCACAGCTGTGTCGGCTTTCAAGGTGCATATAAAAAAGACGAGCCATATTTAGAAATAACATTGAAAAGAAAAAGATGCACACAGTTGCTATTTTCTTTGTTGTGCTGCGTTTTGAAAACGATGTCGCCTATGCCCCTCGCGTTGAAATATGCGCCACTATTTCTACAGAAAAGATTGCAGGGAGCATCCTACCTTGGCAAGAAATAGAAAAAAAGAAACAGTAATCCTTATAGAGAGGAAGCACCAAGCATTTCAGCAAAAGAAGCTTTGATGTAATATGCAAAAATGTACTCTTTCGCCGCCCAGCGGAGGGCTGTGCTGGAGAAGATTTTTGAGAGCCTGCACACAGTGACTCAATTCATGACCACTGCCGTCCACTATATGCGTTCAAGTGCAGCCGAAAACTAGTAAATTCTTCGAAACATAGGAAATACGCAGAAAATAAATTCCAATATGCTCATTGCAAATAAAATGGCTGGAAATCCATTTCGACAACTGATGTTTTCTTCAGCTCCTGATAGCAAGTTTTCGCCGCAGCAAACTTTCACAGTTAGTTCTACTGAAGTTTCGCTGCATTAGTCGTGTGCTGTAGGAGCGTCAAAGGGACAAGAATGGTGGATCCACAACGATCCGAGCAATGCTCAGCAGCGGTGTCACCCGGTGCTGCAACGTCTCCCGTGAGCTCCTGGCGTCGTGCCTTGAGCTGCAGCTCCTGTCAACTAGCACTACATCCAACTTCAGCATTTCTCAACAGAACTATGAGTCACCATAGTGCGGTTTCACATTCACTTGTTTATTTATTTATTTATTTATTTATTTATTTCTCTATTTATTTATTTATTTTGTTTATTTCCACGGTGGAAGTGAAACTACCAATTGGTTGCGATCGTGGCGTGAGGGCGCGCTCACGCACTTAGCATCGTGCCTATAAGGACGGCTCCAGAGCCGGAACGTGAGGTCAAGCGTTCACATCGATGCGGCAAGGAAGTATGGCAATAGAAAATCACAAGTGACTTCAAAAATAGACAAGTTACTTCGGTAACAGACCCGACTGCAATATCAGAAACTGATGATTATGGAAAAGCCCATGATTGAGAAGGCATCAGTTCTATAAAAAAAAAACGGTCCACATAGTATCCGAGTCACCAGCGCAACATTTGAAGGCCGCATTTACCGGCGTCGAATTTTTGCGCACTACAAACTCTGGCAATGAAATCTAACTCATAAACCTAATAAAAGAAAAAAAATATGGTTGGTGGGAAACGGGACGTTAGGTGTCTTACACAAGCTCATCTTACGTTATAGTTTTGTGAGAATTGTCTCGCGAGAAAGAACTACTTTTAAACTATACTTACGTTATAGTTTTGTGAGAATTGTCTCGCGAAAAAGAACTACTTTTAAACTATGCAGGAGTTCGACCTCGATCCTGATTGTTTCATGGGGATTGGAGGGAAATTCCTGTTAAGCAGGAAAGCAGTTCCTGAGGGAAGGTAAGCAGCTTTCTGTTAATTATTTGTACATTTCAGAAGTTTTGTTATTATCGACCGCAAAGGAAGGCTATAGCTGCTGCTTAATTATTGTTTTTCTTGTTCGGGGCCACCGAGTCACTAACCACTCACTGGCGCAATGGGATCTTGAACCATAGTTAGGTTATTATTTCTCGAAAAGCAGATACCGAGTCTAAATTTACTTAACCTAACGACATTCTAAATAAACTCAAACTGATAGTTAACTACATGATGCTATACCTAAAAAATGAACAAAGAGAAATAGCTTGGGCTTTTCAATGTTAATCAGATTAGAGGCTTCCGAAAGCTTTTTGTAAAGCTGTTCTCGCTTACATAGTTTTTCCTGCTTGCGCTACACTGCGGGCAACCTGTAGAGAGTAATGTGTAAAAGGGCAAGAGGGAGCCACAATGTAATTCATACACTGATTGAAGCAAGAAAATATGCATCGGTTCCCAGCCACGGGGAACAACTCGATATCCTTGTTCAAGAAATGATCGGTGCGTCAACCGAAGCATTAAGATGCACAGGAATGCTAGAGTGACGGTGTTTCGTAAGTTCATAAAAAGCGCCTATACATAAAAAGCAAAGTACAGGAGTGATGAATATTCATTTTTTATAAACGAGCTTATAAAAAGTGCGAGCAGTATTTAGAAATAACATTAAAAAGGCCAAATGCGCACAGTTGCTATTTTGTTTCTTCTGCTCCCCAGCAACTTGTTGTCCATGGTGGATGGGGTCAGCAACGTCCAGGACAGTGTGGTCTTGTGGTGAGCATTTGTTCTGTCATTCAAGAAGCAGTCTAAGAATGGAAAATAATTTGATTGAGCTGGTCGTCCTACTTGACTTTTTATTGTAAAAAATAAGCTTACAGGGAGCGTTTATACGCGTATACGATGAAGTGATATTTCGTTGTGTATTCTCGCTTCCATTTAGTGTCCGCCATCGTACGAGCCAATGAGGTGAGCTGAATTCATCGTCTAAGCACAACGAGGTAAGTCGCACCTTGGAGCCTCTTTAAATAGCCTGCAAAACCCGAACGACTCCTTATGCATTTGCCTGGGACGGCTATAGTAGGCAAAAGCCAGCCATATTTGTTTCTTCTCACTCGGTTGTATTTGAATGTATACGTTGTTAACTGCCCGCCACTCTGTCATTTAGGCAGGAGTGTGAGCGCGGAAATACGCAAGTTTGCGATCGCCTATGACGGCAACCAGTTCGCGGTCGTCGCTAAACTAAACCATCTCAATCAAACAGATATACATGCTGCACGTACATCTGTGGAACACTAGTGGTATAGTTTTTCTACCAAAATGATAACGAAATGTTTCCGCAACATAGAGCTCGAGAAACTCACTTGAAAGCGCTAACATATATACTGGATGCATGGTATGAAAAAAAAAATCGCTGCTTATCCACAAACTGAATGATGACGACTGGGACAAAGTGACGACAGTCCGTCCGTTCGTGCGTTCGTCCGCACGTTCGTCCGTCCTTCCGTGCGTCCATCCGTTCGTCCGTGCGTCCGTCCATGCATCTGTCTGTTTGTCCGTCCGTCCATCTGTCCGTATGTTTGTCTGTTTGTCCGCCCGTGCGTCCATCTAGTGGACACTCCAACTACCGTCATCTCGCATCTTTTCATCATATACTCATCAGATAGAAATACCGCCATGCAGCGGACATTCCAAGGACTAAACGAGAGGTCATACATTGGCGGACGCACGACCTACAGCATAACGAGCTTTCCCCCTAAAGAGTACTTAATACAACTGTAAGAGTATTTTCAAGCGTTTCCAGTTCGTCTGGTAGCTCTTACATACCTAGAAATGCATTACACAGGCTTTGGATCAGTTTTTTTTTTCTTATATATAGTCACATCACCCATTTTCAAGAAACACGCACTCAATATTGCGTCTCACGACAAAGTGTCTATAAAAAGCCTTTAATGCGCTATTTTGTTACAGATGAACTGAGCAGGAGTCTTCTTTTGTTTCATAACATATACTGATGCAGGGCGCACTACACCAGCTATTCGGAGGACTTGCTCGCCGCCTAGTGCCATCACCACCTACGGATGTCACAAGATGCCTCATAACGAAGCAATGAGACACGGTCGCTGTCCTCTCGAATCAACATTGCTCGTCGTGACAGTGTGAAATCGGCCCACTCTTACTGCCTGGTTTGAAAGCGCTAATAAACATCCATTGATCCGACACGATAGAGTTGAATCAATATTATTTTTTTTCATCCTATTGTCACTGTTCGTTCTGTCGAATAAAGTAACCGAGAACTCTGGTAGAATAATGCAATAATGACGGTAATAATCAGTATTACTGAGAATGAGCTGGTGTGTACCACGCAGTACTTGCCACATGTACAATAAAACACATTGGTGTCATAACTTATTTCTATTTAACTCGTCAAGGCTTCTTTATTTGCAAACTTCTTCACCACATGTTGACATCCTTCCACAAGGGGACATTGCCAGGGGCCGACGGTTGGCTAAGAATTGGCAACCAGTCGGTGACCAGTTTAGTAAGTGACACAACCGAAATAAGTGGTTGGCCCATGGCTGGCCATTGACCAGGTCGACAATAGGTCAGCCAGCGTGCTTGTCCCGACGTCGTAGTGGCCCGACGTCGTAGTGGCTCAAGTGGCCCGAGCTTCCGCCAAGGCCACTTGAGCTTGGTCAGCACTAAAGCGGTTCGGTGTACTTCAAAGAGAGGAGAGAAAGTTACTAGAAGACATAATTGAATTGGCCGATCAATTCTTGGAAGCACAAGGTGGCACAAATTTGGCCAAGGTTAAGGAGGAGTGTCCCGAAGATTCGAAGAAATCGGCACCTGAAGAAAGGAAGCATGCTCCGGAGAGTGTTACGCGATGGTTTCTTTGTAACCGAGAGGTTCATTAAGCTAACAGTTGTCGAACCAACTTTATGCGTCCCAGTGTAACAAAATGTTTTAAATGTAGTCAGCCTGGGCACAATGCATGTCGCAACGAAGCGAGTAAAACCCACCAAGTAGCCTGTGTGCATGCGCCATCAAAAGATGATGATGATGATGATGAGGAGGAGGAGGAGGAGGAGGAGGAGGAGGAGGAGGAGGAGGAGGAGGAGGAGGACGACGTCAGCGACGGATTTGTGGAGTTGGAAATTGGGAAGAAACTTCCTATTGTGGGTGCTGTAATGACAACACGTCCAACAGGTGTGACGAAGGGAATGCCCACGCTGCCTGGGAAAGTTGCGGGCAAGAAGATTAAGAGACACCAGAAGCCCCACTGTTATCATGCGGAGGAATTGTTGGTGTGGTAAAGCGAGTTAACTAAGCTGGTTTGCCTAATTGAAGGTTTGGTTCGGATGCTTTCTGGAGCTGAGATTGACGTTGAAACACCGTACTTCAGCGGGAAGGTTTCTGCCCTGTGTATGACAATTCCATGTACGACCTCATCATCGGAAACATCGACGGAGCGCGAGGGCCGAACGATCCAGAACGTTTGGTGGAAGACCCGAAGATGGGGCCCTCGTCGACACAGAGACTGCAAGATACAGTGGAGGAGCATCCCGTGACGGATTTCACCTGACCTCAAGATGAAGCCGTGATGCAAAGGAAAGGCAGTCATGAGGTCACCGTGACGGACGAGAAAACGTGCCACAAAAGTGAGACTGCAGAAAAACGACCGCCGACTACCAACCGTGAAAAGGTGACGAAGTCAGTCGGTCGAACTCAAGGCCTTGCCGTGCACGAGCCGGCTGGTGAATAACCAGCGAAGACCGGTTGAACGTGACCTCAACTTAACAGTGTCAAAAGTGTCAATGATGTAGAGACGCCTCCTCGGGTATACTGTCGCTTGAAACGGCTCGCCAGATCAGAAAGAAGAAAAATAAGAAGCGATCGAGCGAGCAGCGATAGAGAGGGCGCAAGCGAGACGTGAAACTTACAGGATAGGTATTGAGGTTAAATTTGAGTTTGTCTGGCAGTGTTGAACCTCAATGTGTTGTGTCATTGTTATCCTGTGTCACTAGTGTACGACGAGTGAGTTAGTGTCTGTTGCGGTGACGTGACGTCATTTATAAGATTGTAATGTGTCGTAAAGGCAGACCCTTGTAAGTTCGTATTGTTTGAAGTTCCGGCACCTGCGGCTCACGGATGCCTGGGAGTTATGGAGTGTTGTACTCATGTACCACTGGTTATATTGTATTATGTGTTGGGAAATTGAATTGCAATGTGATATTGTATTGAGTGTGCTATTGAGAATGTTATGAGCCAT